TTATAATTTAGAAGAGTTTATTCCCTTACAGTCGTGGTCGTGTATGAAATAGAATGATATAGAATGATTTACAATGATTTATGCTCTTGAATATGATGTAGAATGATTTAGAATGTTTGATGCTCTTAATGATATAGAATGTTTCTTTTTAATGATTTAGATTGTTTGATGCTCTTAATGATATAGAATGTTTCTATAATGATTTAGATTGTTTGATGCTCTTAATGATATAGAATGTCTCTATAATGATTTAGAATGTTTTATGCCCTCGAATGTCTCTAAAGCATGTCCTTATATATATTTCTGGTCATCGTCAAAGTGGAAGGGGTAGGAGCATAAATGACCAACTATTGAATCTTGTCCTTATGACTAACTATTCAACTTTTATGTGGACTATTGCTAGCTCATTGTCAGTATTTGCATAGATTCAACATTGTCCGGGTTGGTCATCCAAAACCAGATATATTACGAAATAAAGTTTCAAACTGTTGTTAAATTTTCAGCATGTGCTCTATAATAATTCAACACAGGATACGAATAAATAAATATTAATTCAACGTAGTGCAATTCAGTGGTCTGATTATTTCAATATACAATTTCTGAGAAAAATTTCGCCAGGATTCTCTGGTATAGGTCTCGATTCAAAGTAACCAAAGTAGTTAATACTCTGATGTCGACAGTAATATCACCGTCGAGTTTTAACAGACAATAGCTGCTGCTTTTGAGAGTTTTGTACGGTACAATTTGTAGAATCTAAAAGATGCATGGTTTTTTGGAAAATTCTTGCGTGCCTGACAACGTTCAAAGTGTCCGGTTCTACGCGTGTCGCGTGAAATTAAACAGAAGAATCTCTCGAGAGTGACGGCCCAAAGGTGCAGACACTTTAGACAAAAGCGACACTTCAAGTCCTATTCCTTTCGAAACCCACGTGTTGGACCACCCAAGAAAATTTTCCCACTTTCTGGATGAATTCGCGTTCCGTTTTCACTCGACTCGTTTTCCAACTCGTCCCGAGGCACGGACAGACGACGTCCCGACAGTCTCGGTTTTAGAATTAGAACTACCAAACGACATATTCATCGATTACCAATAAAGTTGAAAAATCAATGGGAAACGCTGCTTTCTATATTTCAGAACAATAATTTGGCCGAGTGTATATTCTCGTCCTTCTTACTCTATTATTTAAGACTGGTTGCTTCGGTGCGTCGTTCTTGTTACAATCGCGGCCAACAAATCTTCGAAACGACTCTCACCAACTATCTATACATTGCCAGTGACAGACGGAACGACTGGGTGGCAAAAATGGAAATATCCCCCAAAACTCGATCGATCGTTATCACGTGATTTGCCTATAGTGCAATAGTGCTATCCGTAAGTGTCCAAAAAGCGTCAACTGTCCCCACTTTCTCTCTCTCTTTCTCTTTCTCGGTGCCAATTTCACAGAATACACCAGTGAACGCTTCTGGGTATTCATGATACATAAATCATTCGCAGTGCAACAATTAAATTCGCGTTTCACGATTAAATCGCGTTGACGCGAGGATGAATCGGGAGGGAAGACGGGGGGGTGGAAGTTAGCCGGGAGGGAAAACGCGCGCCGCTGATATAGAGATCTAATTTCCTTCTGCGCGAGTCTTATAATTCACGGTGGTTCGAGGGGTCTAAGGTCCCGGGGTCAGCCGCAGACGTAACAATTCACTTTTAAGTGTCCTCCAGGAGACCTCCTGGCAGCGTTCCTCGCGACTCTTCCCGCCCCTGGCCGCTGCTTATGCCTCGCTCCATTAACATAGAGATTGGCAGGAGTTTCGTGCATCGATCTCTCCCTCGCCCCCGGAGTCAAGTATCCATATCCATCCCGGATGGGGGCCTTCATCCTCCGCCGCGTCAAAATAAGAAAACCCTCTGCTCTATTGTCGTTTCGTCCTTCTCCTCTCCTTCGTGCCTTGCAGATTTCATAGCGTTCATTCCAAATATACAAAGTACCGTGGTGGAGAAACAATTTTCTACACTCGATAAATTGTCGGAGGATTTACTTCACATAGTGATCAAGGATCGTAGCTTAGATCTTGCTGATGAAAAAAGAGTGTTACAAGTTTTCTTCTTTTTACTTGTTCCGTGTCTAATTGTTCAGTTACAATTATTTTCAGTTTTTATATTATTATTGTTTGAGATCGTGTGGATGATTTACTTCACATAGTGATCAAGGATCGTAGCTTAGATCTTGCTGACGAAGAAAGAGTGTTACAAGTTTTCATCTTTTTACTTGTTCCGTGTGTATGAGTCTGATTGTTCAGTTACAATTATTTTCAGTTTTTATATTATTATTGTTTGAGATCGTGTGGATCTCGATACAGTTATCGGGAACCACTAGTTCCTTTTTTTTTTTTTTTATGGGATTAGTTCCGTTTTATACATGTTTGGCTGAATTCCATTTGTTAGTTAGTAAGGTCTAGCTAGTGTTTCCTTTTCAGTCTTCTGGGTAGTAGAAAGTAACAGTCTTTTTGTGATTTCTGATTTTGTGTTGATGTGTCCTTGCACGTTTTAGTATTTCCTCTTTGGTGGTTGGTAGTATTCCTACGGTTTTTCTTATGTCATCGTTTCTGACATACCATTTAGCGTCTAGTATTGTACGTAGCATGATGGATTGTAGATTTTCTATCTTTTTCATGTTCGACTTGGCTGCCATGCCCCCAGATTTGTAACCCATATGTCCAAATAGGCTTAATTATAATTTTGTAGATTAGTAGCTTATTTTTTACGCTTAGCTTAGAGTTTCTTGATGTTAGCCAGTACATGGATTTT